TATATATAGATTCACAGGGCAAATTATCATAGACTGCAAATTATTGGGACAACCTTTACACAATATGCGTTCAATCACGCAGAAGGACACTCGGTGTTGCGCCTTGTAGGTTCTTCCACGAGAAACTAATTACTTTGAGCGCTGCTATTAAATGACCGCTCATACATATGTATAGGATATAATAGCATCTCGAGCAAACAGGTCTGATCCTTAGGATATAAGTTAGGCCATACATGGGGAGCAACAGGGTAATCCAATATACGATGCCTCCGGAGCTCTGCTCAATATTGTAGTGAATCTGAATGAAATTCGTGAATATGAGGAACGGCATTTTTTTTGAGCCATGGAGAAAATGTTGAAATCTCTTTAGCACAAAAACAACTATATCTTTCAAGAAAGGGATGATTGTGACAATAGGAAAATCGAGTCCGATGGAGCCCGTGATGAAGATTCCAACGGAGATTTGCGCCGTACAGAAAATTAGAACGGCCAGACGTGATGAAGTGTTCCGAATCACTGCGCACGGTATGCCGCGACATTTGAAAATATGCCGCGGACTCAAATTTGCGATTAAGCCAATTGCGTGGATATCGCTATATGCACACGGAACAGCGTGCTTTTCCCGCCTATGATGGATAAAAATGGTTAAGGCTAAGCCATCTTATTGCCCTTACCCTAACTCACCTACTATTTAAGTTCTGGCGCAAATTTTTAGGCGCCGAGTTTCACTTCCAACTATTATTTTGAGGGAGTTACTAGTAACGGTTATTTTACCGGCTTCTCGAACCACTTCTGCACCGCGTGTTATTGATGTTCGATCAATGACAAATGCGGCAGAACTTGGGTAGCACGTAGAAAACACAGTCCTGAATAACAAAATTAGGCGTAAACCTGCTATCTGCTATCCAGAATGCTCTCCTAGTCTGTTCATAGCGTAGTTCATAGATATGGCAAAGAGTCAAGTCCTTCTATTTTGTGGTTTCGATGAGTTATAATATAATTATACAAAAACAGTACGTGTAGAGTTAAACATTAAATACTTTGAGAATATAATTTTGATTGAAAAAAATTAAGTAAATAAAGATGCGCTTTCGCGTCGCAAAATATGCGCAACGTTTTATATACTTGTATAGATCTCATTTCTTGCTGAAGATTGCAAGTACGTGTTTTCATACCAGAATACTGATAACGTTCTCCAGTGATCTCAGCATTAGTCTAGCGGTTGATTTCTAGGGTATACCAGAAATCCCCGCTCAATGGAGTCTATCGAGCGCCGATCTGTAACTGTTATCTTACTGGGGGCAGCAGTCGCTAGTAGTTGGAAAGACCAATACAAATTGAATTGAACTACATACCGATGAAATGAAATAGTTACAACGAAAAAGTCTCCTCACGTACTTTTCGAAGCCATTTTTGTATAATATAGTTGACCATGGGCATAAAAAAGTTCTAAGAGGAACAAGCTGTTCGGCTCTTGATAGATAAGCTTTTTTTGCCTAGAAACCAAGCAGATCATGTTTGTACAACGCCAATAAAGTATTATAAATGTTGTTTGTTTACATGCCTTCATTATAATAACCTGATAGCCCTTAGGTCCAGTACACAATGTTCTTGACAAACCTACAAAATGTCATGGTAAATGTTGTACAACCAATCTATGGGATAAGCGGAATTAAGCCATACCTACTTCAATGTGACTGTAAAATCATGTGGCATCGTCCACTGTTATTTAGAAGACATGTATATATGAAGAATATGTAACTATGCGTCCAGCACGATAATTTCGACTCCAACTTGATTGAATCTGTACAAATTCAGTAATATTTTTTAACGTTTGTTTTGCCTGCTCCTTGTAAAAGCTACTGTTAAGCGGGAAATTTAAAACATTGGTTCCTTAGTCTTATTGAAGGTTGGTACTCGGCAGTAGCTTAAATCGTCTGCGAAGCTGCTATTCAATTACCTGGATTGATCATCGGTTGATAGTGCAGCTTCACAACTTTCTCCCTCTTTCGAAACCAGCGAACGGAAATAGTAGAGTGAAGACGTAGTTGCGCTAAATACGACTTGCGTTGGAAACTGAGCTCAGTCCTGTCAAAACATAGATATTATAGTAGACGCAGTAGTAGCGTCGTATACCAACCAAATCATGATGGTTACGAGAACAAACGCACACGTGAGGGTTTCCGTTGTCGTATTCCAGATATTCGAAAACTATTAGGCATTCGACGCTGAGCGTCGATTAAGGCGCAAAAACCTATCAGTAATTGTATTTTTTGCTGCTCTATTTTTAAGAAAACGAAGTCCGTCTTATAATGTTCTAGGAGGAACTGGTATAAAGTACCAATCTGTCAGAAGCTGAATGATGCTTATAGTAAGTACTGCGTAGCTCCATATAAAGAGTTATATTACACCCAAATAATTAAGTCTCATAACAGAAGCGCATTTATCCCTATCTGTTTGAGTAGTGGGTAAGCCAGGCGCGCATGTACAGTAATTCCTATAGAACTATCATTACCGCGAACAGCGCGAAGGCCTTCCTGAAGTTAGTTCAACAAGAACCGAAGATGAGTGTTGCCAGCTAAAAACAGTTAGAGGATAAAAACAGCCTCTGTCGACCTTTTTGGGACCCACGGCCATATTGGAAGATATTTCGCTCTTCTAGTCCGATTATCCTTGCTGTTAGTGTAGATAAGCGGGCATGTGACCGTCTCAAATCACCTTGCTTAAGAGTTTAAAGTTTATTGTCTGAAGTTGCCTGCCTTCGGGAGTGAACCTGTTACGGTGCTGGTTGGCCACAAAGAACGGGCCACTCCGGAAGGGGCCTACTAGGATCTTCGATCTGTTCGCGGCGTTTTTCAAACTTGCGGGGTTCTTGGGATTAAGTTTTTTGACAATAATAATGGAGTAGTTTTTGAATTTTTATCGGAAAATTCTAATACGACTGGGGCACGCAAGTGGTGGGTAAAGTGTTTGTAACAGTTACTAGGAACCGTACCGCATTAGGCGTAACGGTGAAGATCGCGTCCTGGCATACGATGCTGTCGTCTTATCATCCTGCGTCGGTACAGCCGCTCAAAAATAACTCGATTTTAATGTCTTCAGCTCGCCCTGCTGGTCTATCTCTGAAGCTTGCACCTTGTCTACACCTTATTAAGTATTCTGCCTAAGCTCTTTTGAGCTGAGAGGCATGGTATGGGGCACTTAACGTTGGCTCCGGTTCTTCTAAACTAAATTCAACTGAATTTCGTCGTAATTTCCACGTAATACCACTTGAATCGACGATTTATCAAATACTACACTATTATATAGTACCCCAACCAGCGGTATATAATATATAATTCTATAAAGGGTAATGACTTCACACAGTTGAAGGACTACCCTTTATAGAATTAAGCCTGTGGTAATAACAATGTTTACAAACAGAACGTCCTACACCGTAAACAGGACGAATTTGAAGCTTAATATTTGTTGTGTAGACAATGGGTTTATAACAGTTGTTTTGGGTCTAGGTAATTCGCATCATTCTACCTTGGATATCGTTATGGTCAGCCACGACGCCTACATACGCGCAGGCACGAGTTAATAACAACGACAAGTTCGATTTGGGCGTCGATAGCTTAGGCAAAGCTCGACCCAAGCGAGCGGCTTTAGCCACAATCAACCGCCTTCCTCACCGTGCAGCACCTACCTTTGACAATAGTCATATCATTGAGAGTGTCGCTAATGGCAACCCCAGACCAAGAGTGGCAATCTTCGAAGACGATGGTACAAATTCTGAAGTTGTCAAATTTGCTAATATTAGTGATAGCAATTATATCTATGGGAGAATTTCATCGAATAGAAAACGGCTCCATAGGAAAAAAGCACGACACGTTAACCCAATAAAAAACGGAAAAATTACGCACGAAAGTCACAGAACGAGTCTAATTATGCGGTACCACTGTTCAATTGGAAGACGATCGATGCACCTCGCCCAGATATTGTAGAATATTATGCTTTGGCTCCTAACATGAGTTGTTCATTGAGATTAGGAGTCGATTCGATATCATGGCGAGCTATGAAAGAGGACATATCGAATTTTGTGCTACCGCAAATCGCAATTGCGAACTCAGAATTTTCAGATAGGTTGGTTTTCATGATGAAGACTCTACGTACACTGGATTCGAATTTAAGTTAAGCGATTTCTTTGTGGTTGAACATCCAAGAGATGCTGATAAACGTTACATCAGGAACCTCGTCACGTCTACCGAAGAATTGGCAGAATTTTTCGCAGTAGACGACAGTAAAGACAACTCAAAGTACTGTGTCAGTGTGTTGTTTTCAGGTAGAGATTTACGAAAAGCTTACATAGCATATCGAGGAGACTTGAGCAAATCTACAGGCGCATGCTCAAGGCATGACCCTGAAAAGGACCGTGCAGCGCAAAATGCTGCCGTTATTCGCGTGACTGACGGGTCGGGTTTTCACGCGAGCACTGAGTATTCTGCTTGGGGCATCGATACCGCAAGATATAGAAACTTACGAAGGCCTACAGTACGCCGTAAGGGAAAATATTCAGTATTCTGGCGAGCCGCTGATAAAGTTTTCAGCTGAGGACATCAACAGAATGTCGTACTTTATCAAAAACGTGCCTTGTATCACGCGAGAACCGACATGCGGTGATACTAAACTAGATTCGAACGAAGCGTATTATAGGAGGTCCGTGTTGTAACTTAAATTGCACGTTGCGTGAGAACGCAACGTGCAGTGACAGGAATCACGAATGTTGCCACCGATGTAATTTTGCTCCGAAATCATAGATTTGTCGGCCCGCGGACTACGCCAGCTGCGCAGATGTAGCCAGATGTACAGGTGATGATCCGTTCTGTCCTCTTGCATCAGCCAAGAATGGCACCCTTTGTCGAAATAATGGCGTTTGTATGCAATGGCGTTGTGGATGCAAATAGATATGCACAGAGCTCGGTTTAAAGAGCTGCCTCTGTAGTGGGGAGCTTGATGCGTGTAAGGTTTGTTGCATCAGTCCACAATCAGCAGTGTAAACCATTCAGTGTGCCACTCTACCTGGACAATGCTTCACCCTGTGAAAATGGTGGGGTCTGTTTATCTCAGATGTGTCAGTCAAGCAGTCTTAATGACACGACCAGGTGCCCAATTGAAACTTCTTCGCACATAATCGAAACTTCCTCGAAGAAGAACGAGAATAGTTTCTGACGATGGGATGGCATTAACAACTCGAGACTGCGAACTAAAAAAACTGAAAAAAAGATAACGCATACGTAACTCATTTTTAACCACCCAGCCTGGACGGGAGCTCAGCGTTGTGTAAACACTAGGGAACCTTTCCAATGCATTTCTTTATTCATGTTGCCTACCTGGCTTCAACTACAAATGAATCAAGTGACACAGAAAATTCGATTCTTCTAAGAGGTGTATCTCCAAGTGTCACCCCCTTTGTGTGAAATCATGTAGGGGTTAAGTTGAAGTAGCAAATATACGGAGATAATAAAAGCTATTTAAAAGGTCAATCCACATTATTGAGCTGTAAACTTAAGTCTTTACTTTATGGTCCAGCCACCCGTCGCCCATGAGAAATAAGTTATAAGACTTCTATTGGTTTTACTACCGTAAATAAACCAATGTAAAGAGGAGAGGAAAATGATTTTTGGTAGTCACCTGGCAGCCTGTAATAAATAATTCCTATAGGCCTATAAGACTTTTTTAAAATTGTGTTTCTTACGACGTTACAACGCCAAAAAACTATGGCCCAACCCAAAAATGAAGCGCCACATTTGCGGTTCTATCGGTTCAGACTGTATTTGACACCTAAAGGTACTTCCTAGAAATGTTTTTCTATACCTAATTAACAAAGATGATGTGACGAAATGAAAGGTCGATCGTGACCAACTTGCTTCGAAGAACTTAGCGAGTTTCGTGACGCCATTACTGAAGTGCGAAATAAGCAACGAGGACGCGTCTGCAGAAGTATAGACGTACAGGAAAACGGAACAGGACGTGATTTTATCTATTCGCTGTAATTACGGGGTTGCGTTTATAACATAGCAACGACCAGGTAAAGCAAGACGTTGATTTTCCTATGGAATGAAATAATAACATAACGTAACGCGTCGAAAGGAAGGTAGATGCGCAGAGATTCACGTGACTGTGAGCCGATTTGTTGCTTTATCGAATCTTGATGAAAAAAGTAGGAGCCATAACAGGTAAATTGAAAAAATTTCAACCGAATACTTATGGACAAGTAGGAGCATGCGCTGACATTTAGGACGGAGTTAGGTTTTGAACCCCAAGCACAAACTACGCCAAATACGGTTTGATGCCTAAAGGGTGAAACAAGTATTAAACGAAATTAGGACCCGTCGGTGGATGAATTGGAACCTAGGCCGCACACAGCCTTACCCTTACTAAATATGATTTGGATGAAATTTTAAAATCGCAGACTTATACAGTTCCTCATTATACAAAGACGATGCGTGGATACCGGCTGGTACGATTAGCCGTGTCGAAAACAAGTGCACTTTCAGACATGGCCAACAACAGCTGGATTCGCCACCTCCAATCATCGTATTGTTGCTACGTTTGGTGCTACTTGTTAGTGCTAATAGCGCTTGCCAAAGACTCAGCTAATCGAACAAAGGTAATCTATAAGCTAGGAGTAAAGTTAGAATCAGCCTGTGTTCAAAATTTCACCTAATTTTCATTCATCTTTCGGGCCAGTATTACCGCAAGTGAATGCAACAGCCTAGTATGCATTACAGAGCTACGCGCGAAGGTCCTGTCAATCGAACAAATCCTTTTGCGAATTAATCACAGGATGTTTAGGTGATTCGTATTCTTCTCAGGTCTACGAATTCACACGTAGCAGGTATTCCGTTGCGTCATATATATACATATATCGTTATCTTTCGGAATTTATAGGCTGGTTTCTACTAGATACAGACCTCTCTATGGGCTATTCTAGATTAGTTAGTTTGCGGTCACTGTATAGTGCGACTTAAGGATCTTCTGGATTTTCGCCAATCGACCTTCGACCAATAATGCTAGCTTTGTCCACGAATTCTCGGTGAGTCACCTGGCCGAGCTGTGCACACATGCGAAGCCCATACTCTCGCGTACCTAGAACTTATTACCTCTTGCACAGTGTATTCCGTTCGAATTCTTGACGCTACGAAGATTTGCCTATAGACGATCCGTAGTTTATTGGTATTTGCCTTCCCACTACCAGTGTGCCCGGAAGGCCGTATTTACAAATCTATAATGGACACAAGACAGCAGTTCTTGCTCGTGAAGGCGTGCACCTAAATTAAGCGAATATGCATGGCTCAAAAAGGCCGATACCATTCACCAGAGAATACTACTAGTATCAATACTATGTTTACTTAAATTCTATGAGTTTTTAGTTCGGTCATTGTTCTACGAAGAGCACTAAAGTGGGACGGTATGGACGCGAAATAATTGCAATCCATCGTCTGTGCGGGTACGTACGCCGTACTGAAAATGGATACGCATTAAACGACGAAATCTACTGCCGCATTGCTTTATCTTGCGATAGATAGTTATTACATGGAGGTCCCGTATACATATATATATATAAAATTGACTGTTTACTTGCGTGGACAAAGAAATCTCTATTGTTAGTTAGTAGTTTACGTCCTGCTTACTAGAGATGTGGTTTTGTCTATGAGTGTTAGCGAGAGGTCTTTCAGGCTTAGCCGAATACCATTGTAGGGAAAATATTCATTAACGTAAGATGAACTTCATCTATGAAAGCAAATTAAGTTAGCAGCGCTGGCTTCTCGGTGAACAGAATGGAGTCTACCAATAGCCAGTTTATTTCTATGAACCAAGAAATAGGATCGTAGCTTGAAGCCGGGCGTAGGCACGAAAGTTTACGTTAGATATGATAGAGGAAGCCATTATTTGCTTAAAACGGGGATGTGCAGCAGACTATAGTGTCGAAGGTAAACCGGAAACGAAAACAAGGTATCATAAATTGAAAAGTTGGAAGCAACTAAATAAAACCTCAGGAAGCGCTCATTATGCAGAAGTTAAGGGCTATACGCTTCGTCTTAACCGAGGACTATTTAGCAAAAAATCGAATTAGTTAGGGTCTTTTTTTGACATTAACTGCTTGCAGTAATACAGGCTTGTAATTTTCAGCTAATTTGTAAATAAACAACGAAACGTTGCTTTGTTGGAGCCATCGCTAAGCGGAAAAATCGTCAAAATATATTTTGATTAAGAGAACATACAGCTTACGGACAATATTGCTTGTTGTTGGTCTTCTCGCCTAACAGTACCAAGCAGTACACCGAATGGTCTTCTCGCCTAACAGTACCAAGCAGTATACCGAATTTGCAAATTATTCCAATCAAACTAGGTTCAGTGCCGTGATAAATACGGTCCAGCGTTCTATTTAAATAGATACACTGAGAATGCATTCGGCGATTCGCGTTCCGAGAATTACGCCTAACTAGTTCAATAATCCACCTTTATCGCTCATTTAGAGAAAATGCGAACTTACTGGACATTGATAAATCTAGCAAATATATTATGGTAAGAGGTCTAGTTCCACGCCCCTTTCATAGTCGGTCAGACGAAAGTGGTCAAGTCGTTAGAGCTACCACAATGTTTGAAATATTGCTAAGATTGATAATGGTTCGGGTAAAAGGCAACACGTTCTTGCATTTGGCAAATGTATGTATAATGATTTAGTTAAATTGCTCGATTAGGCCGTCGGCGATAAAATCGGACAATGTACTAGAGCGAATTGAAGGGTGGATATGCCTTAGCAGGTTTAGTAGGCATGCGCGCACAGGGCAGTATTTGCGCATAATATCTTAAAAGGTAATAAAATAGTTGACCCAGAAATAAATACAATGTAGAAAAAGTCCGACCATAAAAAAAAACGTTTCGTTTGAAATTTAGTTACATTATGGTTGGGTTTCAAGTTGTCTACGGGCTTCCGGGCTCCCAGGCATTCGTATCGATTTCCATTCGGTTTTTTTTACCGCGCGTTATTTCATAGCTGGTTCTTGCAATACAGTAGCCTTTGAGGGTAGTAGAAACGCTTTTATCTAGATGATAACTTATTGTATGCTGTGTCGTTTTTTGCTCAGATCAATCTGCTCATCATAGTCTGCGTGTCGTTATGTTTCGTCTCGCCCACAGCTGCACCTGACGATTTCGGGCAGAGGATTCCAGACAACGATTTCGGCTTTCGAATCGAAGACTTCGGCAATGTGCTCGTAAAACGATCAGTAAATCGCCCATACAAGAGCTCGTCGTCAGTTGTTGGCAGTAATCATTTATTTGAAGGTATCGTTGATGGTTACCTCGCATCAAGCGTCACGATTTTTGGGGATGGCCAACAGTACATCGGATTTGCTAATATCGATGGCAACGATTACGACATCACTGCGAAAGCCTCCTCATTAAAGAAACAGTCCTACTGGGCAGGTGCAAGAAATGTGCGTATAATGAAAGCGAAACGTCGTAATAAAGCAATAACCGCTTACCAACAAAACAAGGTTTACGACTGTTCAAAGTTGAAAGAGGTAACCGCCCCCGAAAATAAGCTTAATATCAGGAAGGACCTGACCAATAACATGCACTGCACATTAAGAGTAGTGTGCGATTTTCATTTCATGGTTCGAGTCGGAGAAGGGCTAGCGGATAAGGCCCGGTTTGAAATGGCGGCGCAAGTAGCTTTCGCAGATTTTATTTTCGGAAAAACCCCTTTTCGCGATTCCAACAATACCTACACCGGCTTTAGGTTTTCAGTAGGCGAACACAAAGTCCTAGAGAATTTTACCGATGCTACACATTACGGCATGGAGTACCCTATAGAGGATCCTGCTATTGCACTACAGATGTTCTCCGTCAATGATTCCGGAGATAATGACGGATATTGCGGCGCAGTGTTGTTTTCGGGGAGAAAATACGAAGGTTGCCCGAGACTCTTGACGTCCTACATCGGGGACTTGGAATACGTACTTGGGGCATGCGCGCCTAAGCGTAGAATATATGACTCGCCTCCATTCTTCATAACACCGAATACCATCCTTATAGCTGCAATACGAGATGATGAAGTTGTTAGCCGAGAGCAACTAGTTGAAGCTTTAGTGCGAGGGCTTGCGCGTATTTTAGGAGCAAGGAGCATTCCGCAGCTCCATCCTTCCGAATTAGAGTCCTCGAAAATGAAAAAATCCAAAAAGCGAAATCGCAAAAGACTGTTGCCCAAGTTTTCCCAACAGCAGATCGAGGAAATGTCGTTTTTTATGCGGCACAAACAGTGCCTCATGCGAAAGGGATTTTGCGGTAATCTACTCGTTGAGGGTAAGGAACAATGCGACGAAGGGCCGTTGGGAGGCCCATGCTGTTCTCCGACTTGCCTACTGGAATCGGGAGCCGAATGCAGTGATCAAAACTATGGATGCTGCGAGTTTTGTTCAATCTCTCCGGTGACGTGGATCTGTAGCGCTCCAGACTACGATAATTGTAGAGACGTGGGTCGTTGTACAGGCAGAAGTCACGTATGCCCTGAAATACCAGCCAAAAACGGAACTCGGTGTCGGGACCACGGCCTTTGCAGGGACGGGGTATGTCGACACATCTGTGAGGAGCTCGGCTTGACGAAGTGTTTCTGTAGCGATAAGGAGGACCAATGCAAAGTTTGCTGTATCCATCAGACGAGATGCAAGCCATTCGGGGTTCCGCTCTATCTCGATGAAGATTCACCCTGCGCCGCCGGTAAAGTCTGTAGAAATCACAAGTGTGTTCCTATAAGTTCAGGCGCGGGTTTATAAGAGGGGCGATCTGGGCTTCGGCTACGGGATCGATGTCGTCGCCGTAAGCTCAACTAAAATACGCACATCACAAGACGATATGACGATATGAAGTTCCATACGTTTTAAACGCTTAATTCGTTTAGTAGGCATCAGTAAAACGTTTTTTGCTACCCAATTACTGCGGCTATCATTATGTATGCCAAAGTCGATATCAAGTCATCTATACATACGATATTATACTACACCGGCTAGTTGACGCCCAGCACCTGACACAGCATTATATACAAACTGTCCCATACGGTATAATTTTTCGACGATGAAGCGTCAGCTATTGCACCGATGAGACTTAAAACAGAAAAACACAAAATCAGTTCTAATCTGGTTTGCGGAAAACTGCTGTAGACCGTGGACGTGGGGAGAGGGTATTAGATGTTAGAACAGAGTTTTATTTTCTGTCGGTGTTGCCAGTGTAAACAGACGATCGCTAGCAAACTGCTTTGATTCCGAAGCACTACTGGATCCGTCTACCACCGTAACCTGGTCGAAAGTACGCCTATTTGTTTAGCCTAAAGCGCGTACTAAACAATCATGAATTCAATTGTTTGTCATTGTCAGCAGCAAAAATCTTCATTCTATTAGGGCATATACTTATATAATACAATATAATACTAATACAATATTTATATAGAGAATACGAAGAAAAGGTTGTCAGCGAGAACCGAGCACCTGATCACCGAGGTTTATAAATATAAGGCAAGAGCTGCCGTCATATGGGCACGGTGCTTAACCGGATTGAAGCAGACTTTCGCTATAGGAAATTTGGCTTTTACATATGTATATTAAGTATTGGAAACGTAGTATTTTACGACCAAATGTGAGAGAAGCGTTACTACCTGTTAAATTGCTAAGTCTTGGAAAAAAGACGCTGCGTATTTGATGTAGCGGAACCGTGCAGCTAACCCCTATATAGACGACTTTGGACATCTTAAACTGCGCTACTTCGTAGCCATTATTTAAAAGGCTCATTGGCAGAATCTATGCTGGGATCCAATGAAAGTTCTAAAGTGAGCAAATGTGGAGCATCCTATTAGAATGTTCTATAATCATGTGGAAAGCCTTTATTTTCGTTGGTTGTTCTACTTGCCTTTTATGAAGTTCTACAGGCCTATGCACCTCGATTAGTTTTTAATATCCGTGGGGTCTGTCCTTATCCAGTTCTTGTTCTTTTGCCATTTATAAATATAAGGCGAATATAAGGCCATTTAGAGTTATAAAATTCTGACTTTTTTTTTCGAAAGTCAGGAATATATTTTAGTATGATCACGTGGGGCGCTCATAATTTACAGTTTTTCCAGGTCGTTGCAAAATAAACTAGGCTGTACGTTACTAAATTTTTGCGACATCTACCGCAAAACACTATCAAATTACAGCGATATTTATTATTCCTAGATATTCCAATAAACAAAAATGCGGATGCTTTGTTCTGTAATGAAACATTAAATTCGGAATATCGTAGTTCCTGTCCTAGCAGTTCTTCATCTTCCACGGGACGATTTTATGTGAAGTTGTCCGAGCAAGGTTATACAATCTTCAACTGCCTAGCGAAACCACAGCCAAGGGAACGGGCTTTGACTGAACGGCAGGGAAAGAACACCCTGTTGAGCTTGACTCTAGTCTGACTTTGTGAAGAGACATAGGAGGTTTAGCATAAGTGGGAGATTCGTCATCAATGAAATACCGCTACTTCTTAGGTTTCTTTACTTGCTCAATGGAGTAAATATGCTCATTCCATGTTTTAGAAAAAAAAGTATAGTAATTTGTGATTTATATTGAGGACATAGTCAGGTGGGGAGTTTGACCGGGGCCGTACATCTGTCAAAAAATAACGCAGGTGTTCTTAGGCCAGCTCAGCGAGAACAGAAATCCCGCATCGAGCAAAAGGGTAAATGCTGGCTTGATCTTAGCTTTCAGTACAAGTGTAGACCGTAGAAGCGTGGCCCCTCGATCTTTCTGTTTTTACTCGATCTTTCTGTTTTTAGGAATTTTAAGCAAGAGATATCAGAAAAGTTACCACAGGGATAACTGGCTTGTGGTGGCCAAGCGTTCATAGCGACGTCGCTTTTTGATCCATCGATGTCTGCTCTTCCTATCATTGCGAACCAGAATTCGCAATTCCAATTCGAAGTGTTGGATTGTTCACCCCACTAATAGGGAACGTGACCTGGGTTTAGACCGTCGTGAGACAGGTTAGTTTTACCCTACCGTTCGCAGTTGTTATGGTGATGGTAACCCTGCTTTATACGAGAGGAACCGTAGGTTTAGAGAGTTGGTTTTGTGTTTATGGTGATGGTAACCCTGCTTTGTACGAGAGGAACCGTAGGTTTAGAGAGTTGGTTTTGTGTTTGATTGAAAAATCAGAGCCACTATCTAATGGATTATGTCATATTATTAAGGTTATAAAGTCAGAATCCAATCCCGAGTCCATAACATTAGTGTCTGGAATGTATATTGTTTATTAAATAGTTTTTAATAGTGTTTAAAAAAAATTGAAATCGTCTAAGATCGCATCGCTCTATAGGTTACACGTAGTTCCTCCTAGGAGTATTGATCATTGGGGCGCAGATCCCTAAGGATTCACAGCATATTTTTCTACGCGTGTACGCTTCGGGGCATTTGCAGCTTCTGAGGCCGAAGTACTCACAGTATGGCTTGCACAATCGATTGTGGCAGATTCCGTTATTTCCACATAGAGTGCCGTTTTCGTAGTGGATCGGTGGGTCAAACGACTTACATCTCCGGCTATCATTACATCTGATTTCGCAAGATCGCCCATTTTCACTTCTACAAGGCTTTAAATTCAGCTTCTCACATATGTGGATGCATCGACCTGCCATACACACTCCGAAATTTCGACATGCGGTCCCGTTTTTTGCTGGAGCCTGATCAGGACAGGTTGCATTATTTCCCGTACATCGGGCCCCGTCCAAACAATCCCAGTAATCTGGTCTTCGGCAAAACGTATCCTTCGGAGCAAACTTGCACATCACACAGCATCTGTCATTAAGGTCACTACAATCGGCAAACCGTTTCAGGGCGCAGTTACTATCGCAGCAGGGACCTCCGGCCCACCCTTCGTCACACGCTTCACCAGGATCAAGTTTTTCGTTACCGCAAGTGTTAATCTTAGAGCTGAAACAGGACACTTTTAGATTAAGTATGCGCGACATTTGATCGATACTAATGTCGGAAAACTCCATGACTCGATTTTTCGTTTTTCTATTATACATGATATACTTGCTGTCTTTAACACTGTCGTGATGAGCCCCCCACATGTGGCCCAGTTCGTGAGCAAGGGCTCGGACCAGTTCCATTCTTGCGATAGGTTTGGTTCGTTGGCGCGCAGTGACTACGGCGATATTCGGTGTTACAAAAATTGAAGTGTCATCGCTAGTTGGTCTGGGTTGGGCGCATATGCCTGCGTCGAGCTTATCTGCAGAGCCTATATACGCTAAGCCAAGGTCCAGGCACGGGCTGAAATCTTTCCCCGTGAATAGTACTGCGCCGCAATGCCTAGAATTAGTATTGCCTTCTCCCACCGCGAAGCGCCAAAAGAGTTCACTTATGGAATCGAACTTGCCCTCTACGTTATAACCTCTATCAAAATAGCCTGAGTGCACTTTGATTTCACCCATTGTAAACCGAAGACCGCTGGGTGCAGCACCATGTGTGTTAAAAATCATCTGTTTGAAAATCACGTTTACGTAGTACAGAACAGTCATGATTTCGACTACGACCGCGCCAACTCGTCTGTCCAAGTGCCTCGCTTCGTGGGTCAGATGTTCAACGAACGAAGTGTCGGCAACTAGATGTAGCGGGCAGCTCATGTTCGGCTTAATTTTTTGAACCTTAAAATCCGTCGCTTTTACCGGAGGCACTGGCGGTGGTGGCTTGTTACATAAATTTTTAAGAGGATTGGGACGGAATTCAACACGTTGCGAGCGTGGCGACAATGCTGCCGGCTTCAGGTTTTGCTCTCTGTTTTTTATATCCTTACGACAGATCGTCGTTCTACTGAACGACTGTCTCCGCGGTTGGGCAGCCGATACCTCATAATCTTGATGGCTGATGTTAGAAGTTCTGAAATATCTGCTTTCATGAGGATTTTCGAAGCTTAAACCAGTTGAATCTGCATAATTCTCGAATTGTGTGTCGAATTCGAATGGACGCCGGTTTGAAAATTTTCTTGGTAATTGTTCAGCAGATGGCTCGCCGAAAATAGGTTTAGTCTGTTTTGCACGCACTGGGCCGAAACTTGCGAGCTCAAACTCGGGTTCGTCGTTGGAGTTTGACTCCGATTTTTGAATGGCAATCAGTAATAGCCAAAACGGTATCCCATCTATAAGAATCACCTGCAACGAGGAAGTTATACGGTACGAGCTAATTTAGTTGTCGCTTAGCGAAAATTTTAACGTACAAGGGGGTGTCCGGAAATACGGCGCTCAAAATATAAAAGTGTAAGACCGTTAGTTTTCTTAAGTGTAGCTTTTCCCCAGCAAGCAACATCAGGTATCCCCCCCATCTCGAATACCTCTTAAAATTGATACCACAACCAGCCATTGAACCCTAAATATGCAGATAATCGTGGTCCAAGTACCATTTCCCTGTTAGTTTTCGAAGATTATAGTAGTGCCATACGTTGTTCATTGCTGACTAGCATCGTTGTCCCTAACGCATAGTACCATGTGGAGAGTATGTCGACTATTTAGTTGCTTGAAGCAAGTCCCCCCGTTTTTGTAGAAAAATAAAAACCCATAATGTATGTTACACACGGGCACAATTTTTATATTAAAATGCGAGGCTCCAAATGATCGAAAATGCCAAAGGTACAAAGAATTTTTATTGAAACTATTTGAGCTTTTGTGAACGATCAAAATGACGCCTGACCTTATTTTTGCCCAAAATAACCACAATACGCATCGAGGGCCCACGTATATATCCTAAACTAAATCCTACGAGAATGTTTTCTGTTTATTTTGTAGAGCTTTCCCTTCGATCTGTGTGAAAATCACAGAAAAAAGATCAAGTCTTCACTCTTCATGGGGGTTCAAATGGCCAATGGCTGATCTTCGTGATGAATATCGGGGCCCTATTAAAGTAAACTTGTTCGTTATGAACGCGTTTATCTATGTTATATAGGACAAGCCTGTTTTTATTTAGACGCTCACATAATAAGGCAATACCTACTATTTTGGCAACTTTAGTTCACAAAATGTGGCACAGAACGAACGAGTTGATATGGCGAATTCAATATGGCTGTTGTGATCGTTGTTCAAGATAGTGATATCGTATAAGCTATTTTTAGACTTAAGCCAGTGGACAGTTCAAGCCCGAAGAGTAGATATCTTGGCTTTAAGCATTGCTTCAGGGGGCAGCCCAGCCCCGCCCCACCGTCAAATGAAATGTGCCGATGTCCAATTCTGAACTTAGATTGCTCCACGTGATCTTTCGTTTAGAAAGCCACTGCACTGTGACAGGAATATCTAGCACGAATTTAGTTGATGCCGAGTACGTTTAACGTTGAACAGTAGTGGTCAATAGGAATTCGACCAAAGCATAACGCATACAAAAGCCAATTGCCACACCCCAAAACCTTTTCCTAGTAATCGTCATGAATATCAAATATGTATCGAACATTTTGCGTCATAGATACATTTTACATAGCTTCAGATAAAGAAATACATATTTCATCAAACTGGTATTGAATGATTTTCACGATAGGACTGGCGGAGGTGCCGTCTTCCTTGTAACCGCCGGGCTCCCGCAGGGTTAACGAACCTGACATGAAGAAGAGCTTTTCGTTTACAAGAACTACCCCTTAAAGTTGAATTAATATCACACGTGGATAGCCTAGTTCTTTCTGTGTGGTGAAAAACCAGATGCGTCATAAAATAGGGCTTGCCAAACGAGTCTTCAGCGGAGATCCTTACTGGATGGTCTGGCCAAAGCTCCAATTTCCAATAAGCCGGAAGTTATTCTGCTAGCTGTAAGAAAAGGTAATCTTTCGTCATAACTACAGTCTCAGTAGAACAACTATGAATGATAAGGCAGGCGAGATATCTGAATATTTGAGGCAAGCCGTGCCAAAGTATGCAATACATTGGCTAGCCAAGGCAGAGGAAAGAAGACTTCTGATGCCGATGTCAGAGTTCATTGCTCTCTTGGGGCATCGGCCTGAGCTAGGCTGACGGAAGTGTTCGTGCTAACAGAGGCGATAATGAAAAGCAAAAATAGTCCGTGTTTCCATTACAGTTGCAAATTTATCAGGCCTACAGCTTTCGTAGTGGAATGAAGTAGATTTCTCTTTTGGAAACCAGTACCGTTATCATATATTAAATTAAATACTCACCAGGGATAAGAAAAATTAGATAAAAAAGAACGATAGGTGGCGCTGCTGTGAGTTCCAACAACGACACATAAATGCTCTATAATGCATGTAATGAATAAAAAAGTTTATGATCACTTTGGAACTTAAGCACCAAGCCATCTACGCCCAAAGGCCTTCTTCGATAGACGTTGGCACTGTGTGGTTTTGAAGCCGATCTTCTCATCCTTCCGATAGCCATCATAAGGGGCAAGCTGGTTGTTTCTGCAAACATTATTTTCTTTTTAGGCGTTGGTAGTATTTGACTAAATGCTTTATTAGTATATTATATTGATGCACATCGGAAAGCTGTTACCGGCTTACCCTCAACCTATTCGGTACTAGACAGCTCCGTTTGGATGCCGCCGTTACCGAAGAATTACTGTATTGTTTTTTTATTCAATGCGTGTATCTTCACAATCTTGAATAAACTTAATCAAGCGTAATCGATTCAATTATAACTCACGTCTATATGGTAGATCATCACTGATTTTTTCAGTGTTACATACGCATTAAATTAACGGATCTCTCAAGAAACAGTTCCCTCGACAACACGTAATACAAGCACGAAACGTTAGTATTACTCAAAAAAGATTTTCTATACCGTGTGTTTACATAATCACCGCAGCGTTTATCTTGAGTTTTTTTTTTAAATTGAATTTTTACTCCTAACCCATTTCGGATTACCTTAGAACTTGCTTACACGACAATTTTTCAACCCCATACGCGGATCAGCATCATCAGCAGTCGTTGCTAGCAGACGCGAATCATAAACGCTTCTCATCATTACGGCTCAATGAGTATAGCGCAATAAGCACAGAGGACATTTCAGATGTATACTTCCCAACATGGCTTTGTTTTCATTTGAAACCATTACACATCATAGAAGCATCGTAGGAAATTGTAAAATATTCATAGTGAGGGAAGAACATAATGCTAGATAAACTCACAGACTTCGTCCCGCGCTTTGCCTGTCGTCTATTTAACTGATCCGATTGTCGATAATCATTGTGCTTGCTTTATCAGAATCTTTGAATGACTATGGCCAACTTATCAAAGCACGTCTCGATTAAGTGACCTGAAGCAGTTGTTCTTTTGCCTTTCGTCCTATTAGCTTGTTTCAGAAACTAGTTGTATTCAGCCCGATTTAACGTTATCCATGTACACAGATAATACCCCTGTTGCTTCGAATAACCTGCCTGATCTGCAAACATGTAGAGGAACAAAATACAAAATAAGCGTGAACCTGACCGAAACAAACGTAATGAAATTCTGATGAGGTGACCAGTGGACAAATCAGCGTATCTTTTATAAGCGGCAGTGCCCTTTTTTTTTCAAAAGTACTACAAATTTGCAGTCTTGCTTCTTTGCTTACGTCAAAACGTTCTAATCCGCTGCATACGAATTACCGGATATTTAGCAAATTAACAATATACTGAAACTGTTCAAAACCAAGATTTATGGTTAAGTATTGTACACTAGTAGGATCGACCTACCTTAGTTTAGGAGAACTGAAGTCGCTCAGAATATCGAGGGCTTCCAACGACGCTGCTAACGGATCTATTAGTAGTTCACTTATTAAACAAATTCATATTTCATAATCAACTATGTATCAACAGCAGACGTGAGTTAAATTCATTGTAAAGCAGATTTTAAATAAAAGAACCACACAAAAACTGGATAGAAAAGGAGGTTTCAATTTTGTAGAAAAAGAAGCTATTATTTCTTCACGCTAGAGAGGCAGGCGGATACGCCTGCGTTATTGAATTATGTCAGTGAATTGTGGGAACTCTCGAACAGAACTGAGGCAGGCCTGCTCTATGTGGAATCATCCGGCATAGACTTACCACCTTTTTGTGCGGCCTCACAAAGTACTGCACGGCCGTATAGAGCAGAGTAACCCAGATCTAAAAGCTGTCATGACGGGCAAACATCAAAAAACAAAATCTTAAATTGTTGATAGTTTTCAACTGTATGTGCTCAAAGAGATTGAATAAAGGAAAATATTGTGCTAGCTCCAATATGACGATATACGCAGTAATGGGAATCGTTATACTGTATATACCCGATACCATTTAAATGCAAATCTGCGTGTGACCTGGCCACTCAGTCGACCTCATATGTCGTAGTTACGCAGGATATAATAAACGGAAAGAACCGGATTTGACCCGAGTAAACCACAGTAGTCAATACATGCGCCTTTGATGCAGATCCCGCCATTAGCGCAAGGAGTGCCGTCTGGGTTGCCGATCCACGTTTCTCGACCACCACCACAAACCTTCGCAACAGACTTCGCATACAATTTCCGCTCGTTCACAGCGATACGTCCTGAGGTCGACGAGCTCGCAGAAGGCACGGAATTGTCCATTTTTGCATTGGACACTGTTCCGATAACAACTCCCATCGAGCGCTCGCTCTGATGTACTACGGAGCGGACTCGACCCATTGCATTTCCGCGGGGCCTGAGCAGCCTCAAATGGTCGACACTGGTAATTCGGCGGTATAAATTGGTTGTGCTCACAGTGATCGGCCTGTCTGTCGCTACAAACCGCGCCATGTTTTAGAGGACATTCGCGGTCACAGGAGTGTCCGCTTGCTGCGCCCGCGTCGCAGATTTCTCCCTTGTCGAGCCGTCCGCTCGCACACAACGATTCCTGCGCCTATAAACAACATAATTTGCATCCAACAACGGATGGCATTTGAACTAAGCTGCCGGGTGAGAACTTCAGCGGTCTCTCTTTGCCGATATGGCCGTCGAATATCATAACTTTCAAACTGCGTTTTTTGACATGTGCGGCTTCACATAGATGATCCAGCTCATAGGCTAGAGGCCGGATCTGCTTGAATAGAGCAAGCGATCTGAGCTTGATTCCGTTTATAACGACAGTGTTCGGTGTAGACCGTTTCGGTCAGATTTCGGGTCGCGGAATGTGTTCCGTTATCCTGCCCGATATCTCTTCCATAAGCAATTCCAAGCTTAGCGCATGGCAAAACGACTCTGGCAGTGAAAAGTACTGCGCCACAGTGATTACCGCTGATATGCCTATCTTCCATAGTGAACTGGGTTAGGATATTTGTTCGGGCTTTACGGTTGAAATCCTGATATAGCGCAACATCACCTACACTAAATCCAGATTTTGGTACGTATATTTCCTCACGAAATGCGCCTTTCACAAAATTTCATTAACGGAACGGAGAACCGTTTCCATTTCGAGCTCGGCCTTCGCAGTCGAATTTCCTGCGACAAGCTGGATGAAATGGGTACCGACAACTAATCCTAATATACAATAGCTACCCGACGACGCTGGTGACTCAGCG